TTAAAAAAAAAAAAAGAAAGTGAAGATAGACTTTCACACATTGAAGACACCACTGCAGCTGGTGAAAAGGCAGGGAACAATCTCTTAAAACTAGAATCCAGGAAATAATTCAACAGCTGCAACATGATGCAAAGATTAATAAAGTAAGATTAATAGGCAACAGTAAGGAGGAGTAAACACAAATGATATAAAAAGAATATGTTCAGAATAATAGCAGAAAATTTCCCAAACATGGGTAAACAATCTGACATTCAGGTAACTGAGCATACAGAACTCCAAATAACATCAACCCAATTAAAACTATGCCCAGACACATAATAATGAAGATCCCAGAAATTCAGCACAAGAACAACTACCAAAAGCCACTAGAGAAAAGAAACAGATCACATTTAAAGGCAAACCCATCAGAATAACAGCAGATTTCTCCTCACAAATCAAGTCAAGAAGAGCACGGAGTGAAGTATTTCAAGTCCTACAAGAGAACAAATTCCAACCCAGACTGATATGCCCTGAAAAACTCTCTTTGAAGTTCAATGGAGAAGAAAAAAGTTAGAGTAAATAAGTTAATGGAGAAGTAATATACTTCCATGACAAAGAACAACTAAAGAAATTCATGACAACCAAACCAAACCTACACACAATACTAAAAGATATGCTAGAAAGGAAGCAAAATGACCACAATTCCAAGAATGACAATGGAAAGAACCCATCAAATAGGACAAACAATTAAACACAGGAGAAAAGTAGGGAACCAACAACAAGAAAATAACATGACAAACATAAGTCAATACATATCAGTTATAACCACCAAATGGACTCAATTCACCAATTAAAAGAAATAGATTGGCAAATGGACTTAGTGGACACATACAGAGTGTTCCAACAACATCTGAATACACATTCTTTTCAGCTGCACATGGGACATTTTCTAAAATAAACCACATACTAGCCCATAGGTCATGCTTAAGTATATACAAGAAGGGGGCCGGGGAGATGGCTCAGTGGAATAAGTGCTTCCCTGGCAAGCACAAGGGCCTGAGTTCAATCCCTGGTTCTGCAAAAAAAAAAAAAAAAAAAAAAAAAAAAAAAAGAGTATATACAAGAAAACAAATTATTCCATGCATATTATCTGACCACAGTGCAATGCAACTGGAAATCAATGACCAAAGAAACCACAAAAACCCCATAAACATATGGAAATTAAATAACACCTTCCTCAGGAACTAATGGGTTACAGATGAAATTAAACAATATCTAAAATGCAATGAAAATTCAAGCACAACTTACCAGAATTTCTGAAATGCAATGAAAGCAGTTCTCAGAGGAAAATTTATAGCAGTGAACTTACACATTAGGAAAACAAAATGAGAACATATAAATACACTAATATAGCACCTCAAGCTTCTAGAAAAAGAAGAACAAACCAAGCTCAAAGACATGAGGAAATTATAAAGATTAGAGCAGAAATTAATGCAATTGAGACAAAGAAAACAATACAAAGAATTAATGAATCAAAAAGCTAGTTTTTTGAAAGATTAAATAAAATTGATAAACCCCTAGCCCACCTCCTCAAAAAGAGGAAAGAAAAACTCAAATTTAAATAAGGAATAAAAATAGCAAAATTACTATAGATCCTATAGAAATTCAGATCATCCATAGCTATTTTGAAAACCTTTCCTCTCACAGATCAAAGACACAGAA